TCGTCGTCGTGGTCGTGGTCGTGGTCGTGGTCGTGGTCGTGGTCGTCGTCGTGGTCGTGGTCGTCGTCGTCGTCGTCGTCGTCGTAGTAGGAGGAGTTGCAGCAGCGGCAGCAGCAGCCGTAGTGCTGGTAGTGGTAATGATCGTTGTGATGGTGGTGGTAGTAGTACTAGTAGTAGCAGCAGTCGTAGCCGTAGTGGTAGTGGTAGGTGGTAGTGGTAGTAGTAGTGGTAGTGGTAGCAGTAGCAGTAGCAGTAGCAGTAGAAGTAGCAGCAGAGAAGGAGTAGTAGTAGTATGTTATCGTAGTAGTCGTCGTCGTCGTCGGTGTCGTCGTCGCCACGGTGCTCCAGAGCTGAGGTTGCAAACAGTGCAGCGAGAATCCAAGGACGACTCAACCTTTTGAGGATGCCCAGAAAAGGGTTGGTGATTTTGCTTCAGCTCTTGTTGCAGCCTCCCTGAACCGAAGGATTTGGCACGAGAGCTGGAGCTGCGGAGCAGCTGGGATACAACACGGGCATGTTGGATGGTGGGTCGGTTCTTCACTGAGAGAAGATGTGCTTCTTAGTCGTGGCGCTGTTCCAGTTGGCGTGCAAACCTCGGAGCACCGTTAGGGGTTCTCACAGGGAATGGGTCGAAGGTCCATAATGGTTCAAACGCATGCGAGGCATGCGTTCTCTCATCTTCACCACGGTTCCTCCCTGCAAGGCCTACCAGAGCGGTGTTTCGAAGCACTGGACGGTGAAGTGCAGAGGCTCGACGGGCGCCTGCCACCTGCCTTGATAAGATGCTCTTCCTTAGCCTTTGGGCTCAGTGAGGAAGGCTTGGGCAGTCCGGATGAAGCGGAGATTGACTTTGGGATGACATTTACACCTTGATTTCCGGTTCGTGCGGGCGTCGACAGCAACGGATGTCGATTCATGTTGACGCATCCTGTAGCACAGAGAAGCACGCTTGATCAGCGAAGGCGGCTGGAAGCATGTGCCAGGCAACGTTCTGTCTTCTGCACTTTCAATCATGGATTGCGTGCGTGCTACATCACTATCCCGCACGCTGACCAGACGTACACCATCGCGAGAACGCATGTAACTTTGGATGTGTCAAACAATCTGCAGCCATGCAACATCATTCAGAATCCAGGGCATGCCAGACATGTCTGATGAAGAAGCAGTGGCACCTATGAATTTGGTCAGTTTTAGTTGCTAGTATGCAGTGCGTTTGTTATGCAGGTGGGCTGGCGAGAAGGATGGTCGACCCATGTGTTCGTGTTACTCCACATGTAGAAAGTTGAGTGCCCGTCGCGTATCGCACATGTTGCACAAGCCGGGACAGCCAGGAGGCTGGCATGATGGCATGCTGTCCGTTTGACCCGCGAGTTGGCTTCAGGGTTCGGCATTGAGAGAGTATGACCTCAGCTGGAGAGCTGCAGCAGCGATCATAACCAAGGCAGCAGATGACGCTTCAGTTCTTGCAGCATGGCCCGAGTAGCATCTTTTAGAAGTACGAAGGGTTGGGTGTTGACTCCGTTCGCGAGTCGAGGTCAGGTCGTGGTTTCCGCTGGGTTCCGTCAAAAAATTGGTCTTTTTTTTGGACACAAGGCTCTTCGCAAAAAGCATCTCATTCTGACGTGTTCCCGGCTGCTCCGGGCCCCCAAGGTCTTCTGCTACCTCCGTGGCTCGGAAAGATTGGATTCGTGTCTGTGCTCAGATGTGGGGTTTTGCCATTTCGGGGTGTGGTCGCTGAAGACATGTTGTCGTCTTATCTGCAGGCCTCTTCGCATGTTGTATGCATTGCCCGCATTCCCATCTCGAAAGTGCTCTTTTCTTTCTCTGAGTCAGTGCTCCTTGTTTAGTCCACGTCCTGATCCTGGGTCTGGGCTGCCTCCGTGCAGGACGACTTGTCACGAGTGGCCTCGAGACTGGCGCAAACCGAGCTGCAGGTTCCGATGCGATAGTTTCGAAAATCAGCTCAATGGCGACATGATGTGTAGCTGTGGATCAGGTGCCCGAGACACATACCACGGAGCTGCATCAGCTCCAGAAGGAGCTGGGCACTGTGACCGGTGAGCTGGGCGCCTCCCGGGCTCGTTTGGAGGC